TTTGCCGGGAGATAAGACATGAGGGGGATGATTGCGAATAATACGACGATCTGTGCGCAAACGTTCTCATAGATATACAGCGGTAGACCGGCTATCGGAGCCGCGGCGTTATCGTTTTGCTGATAGCTGGCACTAGACGCGAGTTACGTAACACTTTAGGGTCAACGTTTCCACTGGCTTTATGCAATTGCATGTCGGTATGCTATGAATAGCTTCGCCCAGCCAGCGACGGCCGTAAACCAACTTTACCGCGAACAAGTCGACGTACTCGGCTTCATATAGATAGACGCTTAAGAAAATTCTATTTTTGCGTCGCGGTAATAGCGTTGCTATAACGTCACTTGTCGATAGATCACCGATTGCACATAGCGCGATGATATCTACGGTAAACATCACGATTTCTATCGATACATACAAACAATTATAAACACATTTTTTTATCAATCTTAACTCAAATAAGAATATTTTTTCATTATTTTATTTAATACTCAACTTTTGCATTTTGGCTCGTAATTTATTTCTTTGGTTATTAAATGTTTGTATCGATGAATGCCACTGTTTATCTTATGATGTGCCTTCTTGAGAATACAAAGAACATTAACGTAAATAATTCCGTGGATAGATGTACGATTAGATGTAAATTGCGCTGCGATTATCGATATGAAGTATATTTTTTCGTTGAATCTTGATGTTGCATTTGCTCATAAAAAGATAATTAAATTTGTTTTATAACAAGAAGTACGTGAGCTTTCGCGCGTGCCATTTATACAAACCGTTTAACTGCCCGTTAAGATAATAATACTTCCTAAGATAATAATGCCTGCAAGAGCAGGCATTTTCGCGGTTGTTCGGCATTCTTTGTCAACGTGACACACATTTGCGTACTTTAAAAGGAAATGTCCGAGTATAAAAATACATTAGCTAAGTTGCTTTCCTTGCTCGAAGGAAATGCGACATTGTACTTCGCATACGTCCATTACCGCCTACTCTGTACTTCGTATTGGAAGTTGGATTTGCAGAATTTAAGAGTCAAGTGTATAGATATTTAAAACTAGTAGATATAAACAGAAATATAAAAATAAAATCGTTTGGATTATTTTACGCTATTTCACGTTGTTGCCTGATGAGACCTTGGCCATTTTATAAGCCAAAGCTCTTTAAAGATGGCCGAGCGAGATGTTAGAGAATCTACGTTGCCCTTATTTTCGGAGGGCGTGGCTATCGACTGGCATGTTTAAAGACCATTCAATGTAGGTACATCATGACGCATCATGGTTACATCACATGAGAACAATTATGCCTTATTTAGGTATGAAGTGGATAGCAGGTATCGATCGTAGAAACCGAGGGTGGAACAGGATGGGTGACTTTCAAGGGGCTCGACTGCTCGAAAAGTAGAACGTTCGCGTGGAGACGCGATGAGTTTTAGGGTCAAAGCAACGACGCCGCGACGTCGGGAAGGACGGGTCTTCGAACATCGGGTTTTCCCGCGAGTGACGCGCCCTGTAATTTTCAATCCTGGTTGGTACAAGCGTGGCCGGGGACACGCCGAAACGGTAGAACGCGATGGTGGCCCGGGAAACGGCGGTGGTGGTGATCGACGAGTAATGATGGTGGTGAAGCCCGCTGCGCCGCCGGCAGTGGAAACGGGGGTAGTGGTGGTGGGTTTTCTACGCGGGGTAGAAACTTGACGAGGGGGCGCATACGCGACCCCTGACGCCGGTTCCGAGGCTACCGAGGGGGGAGAAACCCTGGTGGCCTGCGATTGCAGCGGGCATGCGCAGCCTGAAACCGAAAGTGCACGCCCACCCGGGGCAATGCCGCCCCTGAACCTAGACCTACACCCCCGCTCTCTCTCCGGAGCCCCATCAACCCGATCAACCCGGTGCCCCTAACCTTCAAACTCCAACCTCTAACCAGGCGCCACTCTCCCACCCTCATCCTCTGCACCACGAGCCAGCCACCCTGTCGACCGAGCGCCGCTCGTTCTGCCGCTGCAAGCGAGGCTCCCAGGAAAAACTCCCTCCGCGCCCTAAGGACGCGCGTGTACCGCCCGGGGGTGAAAAATGAGTGCCGTGCGGCACCATAGCGGCGTAACAATGACGACTTGGATTACGCGCTTTATTGCGTTTCTGACGAGAATGGATGTTAATGCAATATCGTGGATTCGATAATAGGAGCCGAGTTCCGTTCTTCTTCCACTTCCTTCGTCTCGCGGTCCAATTTTGATGCTCGTGAGAATTCGAGGGCTTCGCGTAAGCCCAAAATCAACACCATTTGCGCGTGCGAGAATCGGGACGTTTCCGTTACCGTTTGTACGCCGCAAATGCCCAACAATGCACACTCACCTAATTACGACACGTTTTTACGTAGCGACATTTAATTAATTAAACATTTAATTCGTGTATATATGCATTTTCCCGCGCATCGTTTATGACTGGCAACTTTGATCGAGTGCAACGAGAACAAGGTATAAACATTGCTATTGTGTTTCATCGCTTTGCAACACGGTAATATAAAAATCTAAATGCGAAGTGGCGTGTTTGCCATTTCCGCCGATTCACGCGAACGTCATCGCGCAAATATTCCCGCGAGGAGAACGACGACGATAAAACCGGGGAATTTTCCTTCGCAATTGTCTAGATTTTTTTTTCTCGAACGCGTTCCACTTCTTTCGATTCACCCTCGAAGGGCGGATTTCTAATAGCGCGCTCTGGGTACTTCTTAATGCGCGAACGGGGATGGGCTACGTGATTCTTTTCAGTGACACATCTGGTTCTTTGTATATCCGGACTCGTCTTTATACATCCGAAAACTCGTCTGCCTGCACTCGCCCTTCGGTTCCGCTTTACCCCATGACGTACAACGTCGTATGTGCCGGCTTAAAGCCTCATTCACGATCACCGTCCTAGAAACCCGAACCGATCAAAACAGCTTTTTCATAGGGAGCCCTCTCGAGAACGGTGGATTATCCTTTCTCGGGTACCCCGTAGGCAGCGGTCCTATGGTCTGGTTCCCTCGCGCCTAACCATCGCATCGGCGAGATTCGGGAACCGACTGACCTGAATTCCCGCCGCTCGAACGCCGCGACGGCTCGTTCTTGTACAATATTTACACGAGCCGATACAAATGGCGGGGCTCCTCAATCCCGGCGAATCAAATTCGTCTCTCTGACATCACGTACAATGTGCTCGAGTGTGATATACGGACATCTACTATATACAGGCCTCGTTATTTATCGTCATACCTGGGTATTTACCGCAAGGAAGGAAGTACGCGCGTGAACGGAATACGCGTCGTCGAGATCCGACCGATTCATTCATTCCCCGTTCACGATCCCGATTGTTTGTCGCGTTCACGACTCAAAAATTTCTATAATGCGTCGAATGGATTCGTCAAACACAAGGTTTAACAGAGTTTCGCCTAGACTCATAATGATAAAATTTAACGCGTCGTTTTTGAAACGTTAATCTGTTGAAACAACTTCAGATAAATATTAATTGTTTAAAAGATGATTGCAAGAATTGGATTCTCTTAGTTTTCGATAGATTAATCTAATTTTCACACAATAGCTCATGTATCTTCTAAAATGCTTGCGATACTGTATCAGGGAAGTATGAAACTTCATCAAGCTTCATGCGTTATTTTTATCAAACATCCACAATTTGTGAACCGATGTCGCATACAAATTGGGTAATCTTAAGTTTCCTAACAGCTTTACGATCACCGATAAAATTATGTAATGTAATCTAATATTTATCTCGTTTCGCATTGCCGTCCTTTTGAAGCCAATTCGATGTGCGTAGTTTCGGTCTAAAACACGCGAAGTTTACTGAGGTAAACAAAATCGACTCTTTACGATTTATTTCCGTATGACTGAACACACGTGAATGCTTGTAAAGATATTTCGAGTTGTGTGTTTGAATAAATTTTGTATGATTCTCCAATTATCTTATGGCAAAATAAATACAGACGCAAATGTAAATGTTAGTGAAAATACGAAAAGTTGTATATTCGTAATCAAAGCTTCAAACAAAGAAAACAGATAATTTTTACAAGTAAAATATTTTAAGATTATAAGCGTTATACAAAATTTAATTGACACAGTTGTAATAATGTGATAAAATATCGATAGATAGATAATTCATTTGATAGTCAACTCCATTGAACACTAAATATTCTATCTTGCCAAATCAATACGATCATATCAAATATGCGATAGTACGAGAAGTATAATTTATCTATGAAAACAATTTTTTATCAAAATAAATCTCGTATAGATATTAATTTCAGTTACGTTCTTATTATTTTCAATCTACGTTATGATAATTTATAAAATGATTTAGAAAGCAGGATCGAGCATTTCGCAAAAGAATCGTTATTTAGCGTTTCAATGTTGATAGGAATATCAGCAGGCTCAGCAAAATATCCACCGGAAAGAAAAATCTTTGATGCATCCGGTGTGCGCGATTAGAAATATTTTATTCGGCACGATAAACATGAAGAAAAAAGAATCGCTGCCGTTAATGGCGCTTTTCTTACAGATAACTGAATTGCGCGATAAGCGTAATGTTTAATGTTAAATCATATTAAATCAGAACGTTGTTTGTGCAATTCTCTCGCTGACACTTGCGATAACACGAATTCGCGAGAGTAAATCGAGAAATGACAGACGACAACACTCCTACGATTTATCATCGATAAATTGCTTTAACAAGCGTATTTGCAGATATAAATTTCTCGACAAATACCAGATATAACATCGGTATCTCGAATACAACTATACTTTATCAATACACACAATAAACGCTTATTTATTTAGTTTCTATTTTCGTGTCTTCTTTTACGTCAGCTGTATAGCTATCAAACATTTTTATCAAATAAAAATAGCAACGAGAGATTCTTTCTCGTTGATATTTTTATTCGGACATCAAAAATAGTCTTCGAAGAGACGAGTTTGCAGTGACGCGATCGGCGCCCTGAACTTTATAAAATTTGCATCGAAAGACTTTTGGCCTACCTGACTAATCGTATCTCGATCGCCTTATATGAGTCGCCACATTAGCCAATTAGCATAAATCGAGATTCCGTGGAAACAATTTCATCAGGATAAACGTGCGGAACAATTTTGTCGAGACTTACCTGCGAGATGAATCTTTCTGCGCGTAAATAAGTATCTCGGTCATGACCAACGAGCACCGAAACTGCGTATCCGTAGAAGTTTTGAGAGCGATGGAAATCTGCAAAAAAATAAGACTGCTTTATAATACAAAATAATTTGGGTAAAAGTTGGGATTTGATAACTGTAGAGCAACATCTTAATATTTTTAACGCGTAAGGAGCAAAACGTGCAGAGACGTTTTTACGGCGCATTTCGTTAAACTTGTCGGTTGATTATGCACGTCCTCAATATTGGCTGCTCTTCATTTTTGCACCGTGGCACGATCTCGTTTACGTAGATATCCACGATCGCGGCGTTTCGCGAATTTACGACGTACGCTTCGCGGGCTTTAACGGCACGTAGATGCGTAACGGGGAAAAGAAACAGCCCCCAGACGCTTAAGTGGAAAGTATTACTTGTACCTTTTTTTTCTTTAACGCGTTCGTCGTGAATCATCCGTTCCTTCTCTTCCCTTTCCGTGGCGCGGAGAGCATCACGAGAGCGTTTACGTACATTCGTTCGAGTTTGCGCGTAAATAAATGTAAATAACGCGGTTACCTTTGCCATAAATAATGATAAAAAAAAAAAAATGTAACGAAGAATGCGAAATACGGTCTACCATCAATTATATTTGAGGCCGTAATTACACGGTCGGTATATCGACATTGCGATACGTTTTCTTTTCAGAGATGCAAAATTTCAGAGCGAGAATCTTCATTAAATTTTTATATATTTATATAATTGCGTTAAATACTTTTATATTTATAAAACAAGGAATAAGCTTCCTTCATGTGAACACCGTAAAATCTCACTGGAATACCGAATTTCATATTCCAGCTGTATGTTGGTGGTGCGCGGATGAAGCGTTGTCACGTTTGGAGCCTTTTGCACACGTCACGGTTTTCACTTTATTCGGGCTTTAAAGCTCTTAGGCGAGTATTGTTTGCGCGATATACACGAGACAGAAAGGTAAGCCAATGTCAAAAGAACATGAACGAGATAAGAGAAATGAAACAGGAATTCGCGTGCATAAGCTCGTTTGCTCGAAAAACGAAGAGATGTTTAAGCAAAAAGTTACAGATTTCGGCATTAAAGTATATTAAAATGTCAGCTTATCCTAGAGTAAAATATTCCAAGAGAAATTACAAAATAAATTGCCATGTTATATAGATTTCTTATAATGTCGCATGTATATTTTTATACTTACTTAAACTATTGAAATTTGCTTCATTGCAGATAGATTTTGACACTGACACGTTGCCAAATGCGAGTTAACTCGACGTATACTGGTCTGACCTGCAATTAAAAAAATTGCAGTTATGAAAAAATTCGCAGGAAATACTTAATAAAATTGACGGTGGGCTTCTGAGATAAGAATAAAAAATTAATAATGGCGTTAAAAAACTGCGAACGTGTTAAAGTATTAAAATGAGCGTATTTAAAGTAAAATATTCCGAGAGAAATTACAAAATGAAGTGCCATATATTATTATTTATATAGATTTCTTATAATGTCATACGTATATTTTGATACTTGCTTAAAACTATTGAAATTTCTCCGTAACAGATATCTGACTCTAGAAAACTTATTGCAACTTTAAGTTGGCTACATCTAAAGCAGCAACGATTTATACGTGTTTAATATAGACAATTAATATAAATAACATAAGGTATATTTGTATTCACCTTATCAGTGCTACGGTCAGCATCTGGTAACGTCGAGTACAACGAATTTTGTCGCGATCGAGAAACGTAACTCCGATTGCTACTACGCCGCGAACGTAGCTAGTGTAGCTACTCCATTCCATAGCTCGCGCACGGGATTTCGGGTAAGAAACGAATATACGAGGCACGGGTTTCAGGCGTTACCCTCGCATGTACATACGTACGTACGTACAATTCCTCGTTGGAGTCGTCCGGGACTCGCCTCGTATCGCCGAAAGCGTGCACGCGCACGCATACACACGTAAGTCACGTAGCTCCGAATCATATTCGCGGGGCTGCGTTTGCCTGGCCTGCCTGCTTGCCTGCTTGCCTGCTTGCCGGCCGGCCGGGTTCGAAAAGTAAAACGACGCGCTCGCGCGTATACGTGCACACAGCGAGGCGCGCGCGAGCGCGAGAGAGACGCGGCGAGGAAACCAAAGGAAATGAGCGAGACGGCGGCAACGAGGTACCCGGCGGTCGCGCGACGGACGGAGAGACACTACGACGAGAAGGCGAGAAGGAGAGAGAGCGAGAAAGCGCGAGAGAGAGAAGGCACTCGGGCGTAGCAGGGGGCGACGTCGCGGGCGCGAGCGAGACGAGACGATTATCGCGGCTGCCGCGGTGCGGCGGTGTGTGCGCCGCGTCGCGGCCGACGGAGGTACGCGACAACGGCGCGCATCGATTGGCGCGCTAGCCGTGACCCCCACCATGATGCTTTCGCTTTCACCCAATGGGGCCTCACTTTCGCGCTCGCCCGCGTTAGGCGCCGCGGCAGCCGGCACGCTGTCGTCGCCGGCTTCTCTCAGTGTGACTGGTGCACCCTACGTGTGAGCGAGCGTTTTTCGTGGCGTCGTCTGTGGGCTCGTCCGTCTCGTCTACGGGAGAGAGAGAGAGAGAAAGAGAGGCAGAAAGAGAAGGAAGACGAACGGGAAAAGGGTTTCGGAAGAGGAGGCGTAGGAGGAGGTGGAGTGAGGCGGCCTCGGTGACGACGTGCGACATCGCAGACTGTAAAAACCACGTTAATTCGCGTATCAATCGTTAAAAGTGTGTCGATTTAAATCGTCGGCGGCGGTTCCGGCGTGAAACGCGACCGGCGACGTGTGTACGCGCGCGCGCGCGCGCGCTCCCTCGCGCTCACCATCGGAAATTGCGTTGCACACCGGGGCGGCGCGGACGGCGCGGTACGTACCGGCGCCGGTTGACCCTGACATTCGAGAGGCACTCGTCGTCTCGCGCGCGCAGGAGCGACATCGCGCTTGTTGTGTTCCGACTCGTCGACGGTGAACGAAGGAGCGAAGACGCGGAAGGACGAAGATCGCGGGTGCACCGTTTTTTGTGGATTCAGTACCGAGACTTCTTTTATTTTTCTCTTCTCCGCGGCGCGTCGTGTCGCGTCGCGGTCTTATCCCGCTGACCTTGACTCCGATGCGCCAGCGCGTCGACGGAAACGCCGAGGAACGTCAGCCCGTGTTCCGAGCGGTGTTTACGCGCGGTGTGTTGCCGATCGCGCGACCGGCCGCGGCGATTCCCGTTGTGACACGCGACGCGAAAACGAATGGACCCTGACTCTTCGGCGAGGCGGCGCCTTGATATCGCCGAGTCGAGCGAACCGGTTGCTCTGTCGCTCGATCTCACGCCCCCTCGTCGCCGCATCTGTATATCTATCGCGCGTGAGGTGTGCCGGCCGGAGATGAAGAAGTAGAAAAGGCAGACTGTAACGTGTGTGGCCATAACGAAGCGCGCGTTCCCTGCCGCGTCGACATCATCCGCGCGACTCTCGAGCGTATCGCGAGAACAACGTCACCCGTCGAGGAAGAGCGACTTAGCGGAAGAGAACAGCCGACCTTGACGTCGAGTCGAGTCTCTAGGGCGATCTATATGGCACCGCGGCGTCACGCCAACGGCGGCCACGGCGGCGGTGGCGGCGGCGGCGGCCTCGGCCTCCTGGAGAACGGAGGCGGGGGCGGCGGTGGCGGTGGCATTGGCACCAACGATCCCATGGACAACCTGCTAGGCCCGAGCCAGACGACGCGCTGCTGCACTCCGACCGGCGAGTGCCTGCGCGGCGACACCCTCATCCGCCTAAACGCCCTGCACGACGCGGTCAAGGTCACCTGCAACAACGACAACTGCCCGGTCGGCCAGTTCATGCATCGCGAGTGCTTCGACGCCTGGGAGCAGACGGTACTTACGTACCTGAAGAGCTGCGGCCGCGCCCGCAGCTGGTCCGAGCGTCAGCGTCACCAGAATCTCTGGACGAAGAAGGGCTACGATCTCGCGTTCAAGGCGTGCGGCTGCCGCTGCGGCCGCGGCCACCTGAAGAAGGACCTCGACTGGATGCCGCCCGGCCTCGGCAACGTCCCGGGCAATCGCCCCGACGAGAACGAGGCGAAGAAGAAGAAGCGACGTAACCGTCAGAACACCCGGCCGAGCCTGGCAGTGTCGGCCGGCCCGCCCAATCACGGCAACCACGTCGTCGCCGCGAACGGCCGCGGCACCAGCGAGGCCCAGATGATCGAGTCCGGTCGCGGCAGAGCCGGCTCCTTGTCGTCCAGCACCGGCTCCAGCTCGCCGCCGGCCACCAGCGAGCCCAGCGTCAGCCCTCTTCACCAGCCGCAGGCAATCATGAAGAAGAAAAGTAAAGTCGACTTTTTCAGCGATCGCGCGAGGTGAGTAATTTCCTCTATCGTTCTATTAGCTAATTAGCTGATAACATCCAAGGGTGAGAAGGGGAGGAATCAATCGCAGAATTATAACGCACTTTGTTCAAACGTATACCGTCATTATCTTCACTGTGGCATCGACGAGAGCAATTTATTTTTACGTTCTTAACGCGTTTACTTGCCCAATAATTTCTCTTCACAACAAAACACGCGAAGATGAATTGTTTTTGTAGAAAGACCTTGTCGCTTAAATACGAATTCTTGTAAATTTTGGAAACGTACCTGTCTGATATTTCAATTCGTTCTCGCAATTGACTATTAGAGATTGTTGGTATAGGATTGCGAACAAAGGCTCTCTGAATATTTTTCGACTAAGACTGTGCGCATTGTGAGATAGAAACGATGCATCGTGCTCTTTTCACGCAAATCCCTCGAATGGGATCTCGCTAAGGAAAGAAAGGCCGAATCTTCGGATAAGAATGATAGATGAGAAGGAACGCGTCGCGTCGCGGGCGCGCGGGAGTCGTTTTCCCGTCGAGACCTTCGTCGCGTGTCGTTGTGTGGGTGTGTCTTCCGGGGAAAGACGACACCTTAAAGCAGACGCGTGAGAATGAAAACCGTGAAGACGCCGACGAAGCCTTTTGATGTGTGGATTTGTGAAAAAAAATACAAAAACTGAGAAGCCACATACGGACAGATTGGAATGTAAAGAATGTATATGCAAAAAGAAAAGACCGCTCGCGATATTTTAATGCTTATATGACGTAAAAACTGGGCGTGGCTAAGAACCGAAGTATTTCCTCTTGTGAATATTCAACGTTATTTTTTTTTATGGAGGGGCAAGTTTGTTACGACAACTCCTATATAAATCACGAAATTCAGAAAATCCAGAATATCTTCTGTTTTAAATTTGCACGGTTATATCGTTCTAAGCGCGGCCCACGAGAATAAATTTCGCCTCACACACACATACACACACGAAAACATATCAGGTAAAATTGGTTTCGGTTTCGAGACTTGCTACTTGGTTCTTTCTTACATAATCGCGTCCCACCGAACCGCAGTTAATCCAGCCGTTTCTTTTATGAGTTTGTCGCTCGCCGCGTTTTATGGTCTCCAAATATTTAGATAAAAGCGCACCGCGCGATTTCTGTCGCGGCAGATGGTGCCCAAATGATGGCGAAGAAGATTCTCGGAAGATGTGTTTGGTTCTCGGGACTAGGCGGAAGCCTTTAACGAGATGAAAAGAAGGGGGGGAGGGTTAAAGGAGCGTCCTGCCGAAACTGGTTGTTGATGTATGATTGTTGATGTTCAACATCGTCATGCACATCGCGAACATTTGAATTTGCGTTAAAACATCTTGCGAAATCACGAAACGGCAAATGACATTCGGTTTCTCATAGAGACGAATCGATTCTGATTCGCCGCCTCGTGAAATTCGACACCGGGGACTTTTCGGGAGAGGCAGAGGGGACAGAAACGACGCGCCGAACATCGCAAATTCGATAGAGGTCCCAACCGCTGGTTAATTCGCTCTACTGATTTTTAATATTAATCATTGCCTGCTGGTTTCGCAAAAGAGCCGTGGAACCGGTTCACGCACTCATTGAAGTTCTGAAATATGCGGCGCGGCTCCGTGGCATTTTTTAAGAGCGTCTCAAAGAAAGGATCTTATTACAGGGTAGAAAGTTTAAAAAAATCAGAGTTTAAAGAATGTTCGAAACTAATCGGAACTTTGCTTCTTTGGACAAGAGCTTGCGTCTATATTACGTTAATATTAATCTTGCGCGCTTTTTTGTACTGAAATCTTAAATTTGACAAACTTAAGCGAAAAACTTTTAAGACGTTGCACTGCCGAGGAGCGTCATAAACTCAGCAAATTGTTCGGACGACTGGCGTGCCTTTATTAAAATTTTATGACGTTCCATATTGTATACCGCGATTATCTAGCAGTTTCTTTGTTCAGTTCGCGATAGCGGTTTGTATCGAAAGAGAACGTGCGCCAATTCCGAGTCGATCCACAAGACTAGTGTTCGTAAGATTTTAAACATAGATTGTATTTTGACTGCTTTTGACGTCACACATACGCACGCGAGACGCAACACAGTTAAAAATCGTAATACATGTTTTTCTTTCCGTTGACGGGACGATTTATATTTCGGCGGTGTGTATTTTGCACGAGGGAAATAAAAAGAGCGAGTGTCGTCGGAGGGAGGAAACGCAGGCGAGTCGTCGTTCGCGTCCGCGTGTCGTAAAAGCAACTCTCCGGGCGCGCGTTCGAGAGGGCATGAATGAACGCCGCTGGTCTGTTTTCTCGTCGCGCGTAGGTCGCTCTCCATAGAGCGATGTCGGGCATGGTGTTGCCGCGCTACGTGCGTACGTGCCTCCGTGCACGCGTATTAGGTTGCTCTAGACCTCCGGTGAGAGAGCGAGAAGACGAAGGGCAGCGGGAGCGAGAGAGCCACCACGACGATTACGACAGCGCTCCACCCATAGTACACGCGCGCGCTCTTCGCGCCTCTGTGTGTGTGCGCGCATGCATGTGTGCATCCTATATATAGATGCAGCCTTGGAAACCTGTCCTATTTCTGTTTATGTGTACCTCCTCCAGTTCGACGGGTCGGGAACCCTCCTGGGCCCTGATGCTTCGCCGCGTTCTACGACGCCGAATTTTTCCAGACTTCTGACCTACGCTGTCTATTTGCTCGATTGAGAGCTCGCTCGTGATGAACGCGGATTTATCTTGCTAAGCGCCGCTTCGCAAGATAATTCGCAGATAAGAAAGCGTGATAAATAACGCGGGATATAATTGAAAAACGTTTTCTCTTTTTTGAGAAAGCTATAATTGCAGTTCTTTAATTCTTTGAGTCGATAATTTTTTATTTTATAAAATTGTCATTTCAGATTCGTTCGCTGTTTTTAAGCTCGAAAAAACAATAAAGTCTATAATATGTAAATCTAAAGTTAATGCTAATTCTATATTGTTAGGACTCTTTTGAATTTATAACAAGGATAAATGCATTATAATTATTGAAAGCATTATATCTTATATCGTTTGAATGCATTTAAGTTTTTTCGAACACAACGGCTAGCAAGATCTTCAGACCCTCTCCGCATTCTCGGTTTCGTTTTCGTTTCGGGCGCGATCGGGCGGTACCCTTGAGGCGGGTGCACATGTACCAAGATGCAACGGCGAGTTTAGGCCGCTCACGCACGAGTAGGGCGGCTGGGACCCGTTGAAGCTTGTTGTGTGTACGTTTGTGCGTGCGTGTGTGATGCGTGCACGTATGCACAAAGCGATTGCTAACGTTGGAAAAGAGGGAGAAGAAGACGAAAGAGGGGAGGGGTGGAGGGAGGATGCTCGTAACCTTGACCGTGGCCACCTTCTCAGGGCCACCGAGCGAGGAGGAGTCTGAACGCTCTAGCAGCTCCCAAGGCCAACGGCATGGAATCACGCCACTACGATTTAAAGAGGTAGAGAGCGTCGAGAGGATGCTGCTAAAAACCTGCACCCGGTTGCCTGTGCAGCTTTTCGCGCAACATCGAAAAAATCTCGGTTAACTTCTGTGTTACGATCAAATATTGCTTGTTCTTTTGATATCTCGACCGATGTCTGTTACTTTTTCGCGCCTCTCTTTAAGGCTTATCTATCTGTGCTCCAGTTTCGATTAACACATTTCCAAAGGTTTGCAATTATTTCTTTTTTTAGATTTTCGATTTTTTGCGACATTGCTTGGCAGAGGATTTTCTCTAGAAAAATAACTTGATTCTGTTATGATTTTTATAAGGCAACTGAAATAGACGATAATTAGTCTTTTAGATATAATGTAATAGATATTTTTAGATTATTTTATTGTACATTTTATTATCTTATTGAATTTCTTAAGCAATGACTTCGCCTATTTTAAGTTTCGTTTGCTCACACTTTGAAACAGGAAAGTAGATAATACGAAAGTAAATAATAGTGTCAGTGCTGTTCTGGCATTTAACGCTCTTATTTCCAATATAATTACGTCGTTAGTGCTGAGACGTAAAACTTATCGAGGCCGCGAATTTTCCGCACGAATTTCCTTTGTTCCGGACTCTCTGTCCTCCTGACACATTCACCGCGTTTTACATTCTACGATTAAAAGGAGAAGATGCGAATGAAGCTGAAGAATTAATTCACACCTACGAACGTGCACAGAACACTCGAGATTCTTATTGTTAGTGTTACGTAGTAGTTCCGTGCAACTATGAGCTCACCTTTATTCTGAATCTTGTGGGTGGTGGCCGTAGCATGAATCTCGACCCGAGAGCCACGATACGATATCGCGGACGGTGCGGATGTTGATCACGAATTCTGAGGATCGTTACGTGTTAAACGCACCGCGAGGGAGAGGGGCGTGAAAACCACCGCCCCTTCCGTTCATCGCGCAATATAGCAACAGGGCGGTTATTCTCGGGAACGTTGCGTCCGTTTATGCCGCGCGTATGATAGCGATTTCCCCTCTTTTTTCCTCTCCTTTTTGCGAACTTTCGTTCGCCTCCTCTCTTCGTCGCGACTGTTACGGACGTCTTTGGAAGAGACCAGCGTGCGGATCTATAAATTTCCGCTGTTGCTGTGGCGCGCGACGAGCTCACCGAGGGCTCGGATTTTAACTGGGAATAAATCGCGAAACGCTCCATTCACGGCCATTCGTAGATGTTCACTATACCCTCGGAAAAACATGCCGCGAATTTTTTTTCTCGTGCGACATCTTTCATGCGTTAATATTTATTGGGAGGGCGTACCGGACAATTTTTTGCGGGCTTATAAATTTTATCTTTATTTCGCTTTTCTCCTTTGCCGTTGCTCGACATATCTAGACATTACGGAGATGCATGTACGCTCGCAGAACTATTAAGAGAATCGTTGGGTTCTAATAGCTTGAATCTGAGAGCGAGTTACTGTATATAAGTATAGAGAAATCGCTGTTAGAGGAGGATTAATCCTTCGAAATTGATTTAATACCGATTTAATAGGA